GTTTTTATAGTTGCTGCCTTAAGCTATTTCAATGCACATGAGTTTTAAAATGTCATTTCTAACTCTGTTAATTCTTATGTTGAATAAGTGTTTCACTAGATAATTAATGAAATCTTCAAAGTAGTGTTAAATGTTTGATTGGAGGAAGCCAGCACCGTCAACATATTTCAAATATCCGAAATATTTAATAGAATCTTCTTTTCTGAAACTCATTTAGATAGAACTCATAAGATTAGACATGTATAAGGTTCAGAAAGATTACTTTTCCAATTCGGAATTGCCATGTAAATCGACAAATAACTGATAATGAAGAAATTCAATGTTTTATATGATGAAATATAACAATGGCTTTAAAATTCTAAATGATTGCCTCACTTTTTATCAATTTATTATTAACGATACATTCCGGTGGATATTTATAGAATTCTAAGAATCTAAAGTGTCAGTGTCTTTTTTACTTTGACATGTACGTCAACTTTGATGTGCAAAATCACTTTTAATTTTATTATCAAAGTTCGTTTTTTATCCAAGGAAACATTTGAGAAAAAAAACATCAAAATTCCACAATTAAAAAAAAATGAATCATTCCACTCTATGACATCTAATTTTGCAATCATTAATATTTTGCACCACAAAATGAAAATTGAATTAAACGCAACATTTAAATTTTGTATCAACGAAATGCAGAGTTAATATCACAGTGGGCTAGAAATATTTGCAATAATTTTTGCTTTTATTTCCTTTATAATCATTGATTCACAGGAATGCCTTCTTAACAATTGAACAGTAACAATACCACAACCTAAGGGTAGCTATATATCTATTTTTATATTTTATATTTAAATTATATGTATTTCGAAAAATGCTTAGTCATCTAAATCTACTAATAAAGTAAAGATTTGTTGATTTATTAAGTTTGAAAAGCATGCAAATGCCATCAGTGGCATCACGAATATACAAAACTTTTAGAAATGAACTTCCTCCGCATCAGTTGTGTGCAGAATAAATCCTCTCCCAACATGATGTTGCAGATTAATTAATTTAGACAAGAATCAATCATATATATCAAATGGAAAAGTCTTAGGCATCATCATTGTGAATGTTTATGTTGACTTTTTCCGTGTCATTTAATGTGGATCTTTTTATATTATCAAGTAATTAAAAATTACCAGTTCAGTTTAATTAATATACGTTTTTATGAAAAAACTTTTATAAAAGTTTTATTAAAAGTAACGTTTTCAAAAGAAATATCAACTAGAAATAAAGCGTTCGGCTTTTTTATTTCATGTATTAAAAGCGTAGTAGTTTGGAGTCCACTTTAAAAACATATCTGAACAAAATTATTTTAATAAACCATCAATTGACGACCTAAATTATTATATAATTACATTGTTATCTTTTTCTCGATCCTGCTTTATCATTGAAGCTTTTATGTTATAATCATTTAAGATATTATTAAAACACACCTTTAAACATAAAAACACAGCCAGATGTAAAATTGTTTTATATAAAAATCTTCAAAGACGTCAACAACTGCGGTAAAAAAATCCTGACAATACACTGTAAGTAATGATATAAAACAGCTTCTCATTTACCGTAGACGTCCTTGCATATTTTTTCAGTTAAATATTGATTAAACTTGCAGAGCTACATGTATATATAACTGATGACAAATGAATATATGTGACTTTCAACATAAACAGCAAACTATAAAGAACAACCTTACAATTAATATTAAATTTTGAAAATTTACACCCTTTAAATGGGTGATGAAAAGTTATTTTTACCCGTGAACCTTTCATTGCAATTCTAAAATTATAATAATTAAAATATTTTAGAAAAAAATATGTACATTTACTAATGACTCATTTGCTCTTTAAAAAACATCATTAGTGGTAGCCCTTTTAAAGATATACTACAATCATATTTTAGTACAGAAATTTGTTGAAAGCTTTGAATCTAACTGACTATATCTAACTTGAATAAAAGAATGAATAAACTATGTATGGGAAGCTGCATTCTCTCTCTTTCACAAGTCATGTAAAGTTGGTCATTTCCTAAAAAACTGCCAGTTTTTTTTAAATTTAAATTTATATTCATATTGTGACCACCAATAGTTTGTAGAATTTTAAATATAATATATCTACTTTATATGAAGTCAAAACCTGTTTATTTTATGATTACAAAGAGACTGTGTAGCAATTATCAATATTTTCAAATATCAAATTTGTGCATATTATATCTTTAAGAAAAATCTAATTAACAACGATATTCTATTTTATTAGATATTATCTATAATACATGTGTATAATCAAAAATATATTATTAATGAAACAACCTCACCAGTGTCTGAGGAAAGAACGGTCTGTAAATCATTGTAACAAAGACAAATAACACTGTGAAAACAGCTAATTATTGTCCGTATTATGTTGGAGTTTCCGTAATAATTCATGGAAAGAACCAACATGTGCCCTCTGGTATCAAAAAATGGCGTCGACAAATTATTCGTACTTACAACTTGCTTACTGCCTAATTAAAGCTTTCATGCCATGTAGTCACATTGTGTTTTTTCTGTGATAATTGTAAAAGAGCTGATACAGGGCACAAGCATTTAAAATGTCATATTGTGCTAAAGTCTACTGTCATTTGGTCGAAAGAAACTATGATGTAGGCATCATTTACTTAATAACATACACGTTACACGGTACGATTTTCAATAAGCATACTGAATGTACCAACAGGTATATTGACAGTACCAGTAAGCACAAAAGAAGTGTAATTAAGTAAAATGTAACATCCGTCAAGCATTGTGTAATGTTGACCTAAATAGCATTCCATATATTCATTTATCATATCTGCCCCATTTTAGAGTCTTAATTTGTCTGTGGATTAGACTTTAAACGCAATCATTGACATAAATTACGAGAAAACTATAGATAGTTGTTATATGTCTGGATATCAGTAAAGCATTCATGATACAGACAATTGTCGTCAGCTTTTTAAGATAAGGAATAGGGTTGCAGAAACAATGCAGTTATTATCATGCCAGACGATGACTGATGAATGCAATAATTCAGCGTTACCAAGCAATAAAGCATCAAACAAACTGTGCAATCATCAATTTAACTGTAGCTTGTTATCAATTGCTGCGCTACTTTTTGAGATTTTAAAGAGCTTCTTTGTTAAGTGTTTAAATTGCAATTCTAACTTAGGTATTTGATAGATAAATGACACGGACGTACATTAAACAATATTTTTCAGAACATACGTTTGACGTTTTAAAATATTTTTATCATTATCTTAAAAAGAAGCAAAATGTCAAAGTTATCAGAAAACAAAACAAAAAAAAATCTTTTATCAGAGTATCATTAAATCAGTTATGTGTTGATAAACATGGCAATGTAAAAAAAATAACTAAAATAAATGAATTAAAGTACATGTATTTCAAAAATTATTTATTTATGTGAAAAAAAAAAGTTTTTCTTTTTTAATTTAACAATTATTCTTATGTGTTATTTCGTATTTACAAAAATAATGCCAAGCTATTTATGGTCATTCCTGTATACGTCACATCAATTTTACCTAACAGGAAGTGTGTCGAGGTTTGTTTAATTTGATCAAACGGTAGTAAAAAATAGAGCACAAATTGCATCATCTTACAAGCAAATGCATTTAACATAGGATATTGTAGCGGCAAGCCACAATTAAAGTTTTAAAATATATACCTGCTTTCCTACTCAGTGTTTATAATTCGGAAGAAAACTTAATTTTCCCATCGTGGTTCAAAAGAACACTGGATATCTTTGTACGCTTTTATTTGTTTCTATATAGTCTTTATAATCTTGCCCCCTCTCACTGTGTGAAATTCTTAAGTTCAGTCTAATTTAGGTTAGTGGAACGTTTTAAAAATAAGCTAACAGAAATTAGAAGAAACATTAAGTTCGTAACTTTACGCAACACTAATAAAAGAAATACAATTTGTTTACAAAACGTATCCCCTTGTGGCTGAAGGGTTGCCTTTAAGTGTAAGTGTATCAATTATCCCACAAATTATCCCAGCGTGATTGTTAGAGGCGACTAAATGGATTCGAAAAATCGGAGTCTTAGCTCCAGCATGTGGTCTTGACACCTGGCTTTGCTCTAAATTTGTTATACCCGAGGTTAGCCAAAATCATTTTTCCTGTTCGGCGACAAATGACCTTAATTGCGTTGGTGCGCCGTAAACCAAAACAAAACAAACACATACGAAACAGGTATATTACTTACTAGACGGTAAGAGGAATAAAAAGCCCTCATAATTATTGGGTTTGGTTCTTAATTAAAACAATTCAATGCACAATTCCAAGCTCAAACAAAAGTTGTGTACTGTAAATTTGAAATAATTGTATTTTACATTTCGCATAAATTAACTGACAACGAATTAGAGAAGTCACAAAAATGACCTATATTACAAAATCTCAAAATTTCACGCTCATGAAATTAAGTAATTTTTCTGCATATATTTAAATAGACGCAAGGGTAAAATTTGAAAACTATTTATAGTCAGATCGTCCGTCATAGAATGGCATGTCGACTTTATTGTTTGTATCTCATTTTAATCAGAGATTTTATGTATAATAGTGAGGTTTCTCATTTTTACAAGGATGTTCATTGTCTGAATCGATTCGCTTCAATCTTTTATTTGTAAAACATAATCCAGCATATACAAATCAAAACCTATTATGAATGTAAGAATAAAATGTCATGGAGCGCCGAACGTCGAAGAGAATTCATTATTAAATGCATTTGTCAGTTTGAGGTCTACGGTATATCTTGCTTGCATTAATGCTTTTTTGCATAAATTTCCATGTTACTTACATAAATATCTAAGTATTAATAATTATATCAACGATATAAAAACTAAACTTAAATAATGAATGTTACTTTTGCTTTTACCAAACCACGAAGTTCATTGGTAGACTTGTCCTTAGTATAGTTTTCGCGTGATGTGTAACAAAGTTTTACTGTAAATGATATCCCTGATTAATTTTTTCTAACATGTAGACAAACACACGGTTCCAAGTGTCTGAAACCTCTTGTGTAAACCCTTTTCCAATGCAAATCCGCCATCGCCACATGAGGGCTTCGTGGAATATTTCAAAATATTCCGCTTTAAATTCAGACGCTTGCTTGTGTTTTTGTCCGAGGTTTATAAGAAAGGCGTCGATCTTGTCTTTTTCTTCTATGTTTTCTCGCAAGCAATAGATAGCAGCACTAATGGCATTCATAAAGCGTACACCATGTGCTCTGATTACTTTATGTTTTGCCAATTCCGAGTGACGAACATTTTCCACATGAAATATGGATTTTGTATCAGGGCACAACTCAAATATCTTCAGAAAAATTTGAAGACCATTTCCAGCCAGATCGTGTGTCATATAATGCCAAGTCGATTTTATGATTTGTATCTCATGTTCCGTCAAGTCTGGTTGTGGGTTTTTAAAACGTTTAACACGTTTAGCACGTAGGCTGCTGTTCGGATCCCTGTCATATGTATCTTTAGCGTATGTGACAGATTGTGTGCATCCCATTTCAAATTACATCCTATGTAGATCATATAACACTGTATATATCCTGTTTCCAAAATTGATATCAATTTATTTAACTACGTTGTCGATTTGTTTACATTGCAATTGTTTAAAATCATATAACAGGAACAACCTTTTTCCAAAATTGCGATTGTTGTTCTACAATGGAAAGATAAAGTCCGAACTGTTTCAGTCGATGAACATTGTCTCATTTATCATTTACATTGTGACACAAACCTTTCATACGATGGCATTAAGAAGTGAAGCTATTGATTTTATTTAAATTCATATCGACAGATACATGTACCCATATATAACAGAAAGGACTAAATGGCAAGAGAATAATTTCGTATAGCATAAATGTATGGCCATCTCAATAATTAACATAGCTCAGTACAAAGGAAAATTTATTATATCAATGATTGCTAAAGTTATCATGTCCCTAACGTTTACGGTATCGACGCGACATATCTATGAACTCTCGTATGCACTACAATTAACTTGATTACCAATTATTTAAAACCAACAGCAAATTTGGATTTTTGTTTCAGTAAACTGAGAACTAAGTTATACATAAAATGTTTTATTTTTTATTCTAAGAGTTGATTACAAGCTTTATAACTTTCTCTCAATGTGTGATAATTAATCTAATAAAACAAAAACAAACAAACACTCACGTATACAATGATACGAACCACATTTTCACATCCTTTATGATAAACTCTTGTTAGAATTTTTTCATAGTTCATGAATATCAATAATATTATAAGTGAGTCTGTATCTTTTAAACTTATATATGCGAAAACTTAATGCTCACAAATTTCAATTTCATTATAGTTTATAAAAGGAGACTTTTTGTATTTTTTAACAGGATAAATTTCAATAAATTGACAAAGGACATTGATAAGCACCAGATCAAAAAGCAGATCATCAAAAGGGGCACAAATTTACTATTGTTATAACAGAACATTCAGAAGATGAGTACGCAATATTGAAATTACGTTATTGCGTGCTGCCATCAGACTAAGGATACATATAAACGGTCATTAATCTGAATTTATCTGCAGTTGAAATATCTTAATGGATAATCTTTTGACACTTTAACCAAAGTGACTTGTGTGCAAATCACATTTTAATTTATATAAACAAAACCACGTTATAAGTCTTACGAATTGCTGAAAGTGAACTAACATTTATAGTTGCGGCAAATGTATAATAAGGCTTGATTAAATTGGTGGTCTTTAAAAGCAATTTCTTTTCCAAAAAATAGTTCAACGTAAATATGAAAAACTTTAAGCTAATTTGAGATTTATAATAATTATATAAGTTGACATTACAATAAAAGTATAATGTTTCATTAAGAATTCTCGTTACATTTTTTACAGAGTTAATCCTGTGGTCAACACAACTCTAAGTTAATGATAGCTAAACACTCGTATAATACAGTTCTGTTGTTTTATTTTAATTATTTTATTTCATTCTCAGACAAAGTAAATTTGTATTTAACTAAGACAAAATATAATGAATTCTGCATAGTTGTAATATTTGCGTATTTTTTACTTTGCTCGAAAAGCCGAAAATCGGATTATTTAAGCTACACATTTCCATTACGTAAATACTTTCCTGTAACTTAAAACTTAACATTTCTGTTGTTTTAAATCAAATTGTATGCAACACCTAATGTATTTTTAAGAGCCTTTATAACTTACTGAACATGTAAAATTCTCAATGTGATAGCGCAAATCTCTTTATGATATACCCAGCGTGGTTTTCTTGTGTTTATGCATTTGCACGAAAAAAAACGTATATAACAGCGAAACTAATAGCATTTTCTTTTTTGTTAATATGGGTCGTTTTATGATCAAAGGCATATTTAGTTGTTTACGGATGTTGCATTCAATGTAATTCTAAATATGCACTATTGGATGCCATCTCTTAAATTGTTGAGAGGTTCAGCTGCGCAATCATTATCTGTATTTATCTGTATGTAAAATGCAAGTTAATTATAACTTTTTTTAATGATTCAGCACATTATGCATTACGTTAGCTTTTACAAATGTTAAGTGTGGAGAGTTAAATTCCACTATTGTTTTGCAATTGGGTATTTGACACATATTTTGAATAAACAGTAACAATATGAGTATTCGGCTAACTGGGAAAGATATGTGGTCATGTGTTCAAATTAATTTTGATTTTGCGATTGTATCAGTTTCCAAGTGTTTAACAATTTTTTAAATATGCTCTAGTTGTCACCTTTTTCAGAAGTTGAAGTTAAATTTCAATACAAATATATTTGGACATTGAAAAAGGAATGAGCTGCCTTTAATACAACTCAAGACTCAGTTTAATTAATGGTCGAGCATTATCATGCATATATGGCGACCGTGCATGATGTCTGGTCAATATTAATAAAATTGAATAGTATAAAAATACTTTTCGTTTGCATCCTTTACTTATTATATTTCATTTAAGTACACTATTGGCCTCTTGAAAATAACGATAGGTTAGGCATATTTATTGATCTTGTCCGGAAGTATAATACAAATGGAACTAGTTTCTAGATGGTTCTATTCAGTGACAATGTATTTAATATTTCTTCTTTCGTATTCTTTCGCTATTGCAGCTTCATTCAATGATCAATTATTTCATCATACTGTACTTCATGTTAATGCCTCATCTTTCAAAAAGAGATATATGCGGTATTCAAAACTATTTTGGAGGCTATGCGTTGTCGGATATTTTCACGTTTTTATAGATGTTTGCTTTCATCTTCTGAAATACATAATTAATAAGGCATTACAATGCAGTGATAATATATCGCATCTTGTGTTTCCTTATAGGTGTCTTGTTATCTTTAAACTACATATTTTGCCTTATCACCTCGTATATCAATTAAAAGTATTCTTATTGCCACAGAACAATATGGTTAATCTTAAGTCTTGTTCGGTCGTTTGATGGTTGCGTTCATTTAAGGCCGTCTTTCCTTGTTGATCTTGATCATATTTGAAAATTCTCTGATTCCATAATATTAAATATAAGCAATTAAAAATAAATATAATGCATATGTCTTTGTTATCTTTTATACAAACAATTCTTTTTCAAGAAAAATCACTAAATTTTAAACAAGTTTAAAAAGTAAACATCAAAGTTAACTGTTCTAAATTTAGAAATAATTGTGAAGTAATTTTTGTCATAATATTGATGAATGCAGCGCTTACATTGAAGAAACGAATAATCTGAAATAGCATCCGGAAACGACAAAAAAGACAAATTAAAAATAAATAAATAAAAATATGTAAATAAATACAACTATAAAGAGATGGCTTAAACTTTACGGTTACCATTTTTGAATTGTTATTATCAGAAACATACCGTACGTCAAAATTATTTGCCTCTATTTTATCATTTATTTTGTAATTCTATATTAAATAGATTTTTGGGAGCAAGTCATATATTTTTATCAAGTAAATAATCTATTGGTACAAACAGAGGGAATGTCATTGTCTTATTTTCAAATGCGTTTCCTGGTTAATTTTCTTGATCGAATTTATATCACGTATGTTTATTACAAAATGTCTAAGATATAATTGACGTTCCGGTACAGACGTAATCTGATACAAAGATGTCCTTACAGCGTTCCTATATCATCAAATTGTTAAAAAGTATTGTTAACAGATTTCCTCGATTTATTTTACTCATAGCAAAGAGGAATGTGTTTATTCATATAGTTGAACAACTTTGCTTTGTTGAATCAAATAATCCGTGGAAAAGTATGTATTTTGCCAACAAATTGTACATGTTAAGCAAATAAGTCGATTATATTTTAAAATGCAAAAAGCTACCTTTTTTAAGGTTTTTTTGAGAATGGATCCCCGGATTTCAGTTTGTAATTTTAAAATGGCCAATGAAAATTCTTCTTCTTGTACATTTTACAGAAGAAAAACTGATTTTAGAAACTGATTCTGACGGAAAAGGTAACATTACTCATCAGATTCCGAAATTTACACCTAAATAGAGTTCCTGCTCTCTGGTACATCTAATTATTAACCTGATGAGCTTTCTTTTATTTTTCATCCTTATGTGAATTGAAACCTTTGCAATGAGCTATTTTGAAAGCATTGGATGCAAGAAATTCAACTGATTAATACTGATATACATGTACATAAATGTGAAATATTCATGCATGCCTTTACCCAATATCAATCAGTCATATATTCTAAATGTAAGATTTGTAAATGATGCAACTTTAAATTTATATATTTAACAAAAAATACATGGCCTTGAGGGCAATATGCAAGTTTACGGACTGATTGGTCAGACTGATGAAGGTATATGGCCCGAAGCGCAGTTGAGGGACATATACCTTCCGAGGTCTGATCAATCAGTCCGTAAACTTGCATTTTGCCCGATAGGCCATGTTTTATTTGTTATATTATACCGAATCTAAATCCTTTCATCCCTTTTGTTGCTGACATTTTTACTATAATTTACTTTCAAATAATAAAAAATTTATTTGTTCAGTGTGTGAAATATTTCAAACCTTAGTCGGAATTATTATTTTCAAGCGATACAGCAAAAAAAAAATCATGCTCTTCTTTTGTTATTCAATTTTTGTTAATCAAATTAAACAGGCAAAAAAAAACGAACTTTAAGATTTAATATGACGTCATCCAGTCCATAAAAGAATTATGGACCGTCCCCGGTCTGTATGCGGTTTATAGACCGGATGACGTTATATTAAATATAGAAGGGCGTATGCAAATGAGGTATAATATGTTTACATATTTAATTCTGGAAAGAAAAAAAATGTTGTTGTCAACAATATAATATAACAATATAGTACAACGGAAATGTCACTGTCTTATAATCGGCTCTGTTCTATTGCTGAATAAAATTACTTGTACGAATTTATATCACGTATCTACATTATCAAATGTCTGAGATAAAAATTAATATTATTCCGGTACAGACGTAATCAGATATAATGATCTCTTTACAATGTA